GTTGCATTAAACATGCTGATGAAAGCCATCGCTTTTGATGATCAAGCAGTGCAAAGGCACAGAGTTACAGTCTTGGAATGTGTTAAGGTATTGTTTTTAGTACTACCCGGAAATATTTGTATACAACTGTAAGGAAAGTTGTCTTAGAGGAAGAATTCATATTAATTTAGTTTTGGCTTCCATCAACAATTTAGGATCCAGATGCTTCTATCCGGAAAAGAGCTCTCGAGCTCGTCTCTCTTTTGGTGAATGAGAATAATGTCAAACAACTGACAAAGGAGCTAATTGATTATTTGGAAATCAGCGATGAGGATTTTAAGGAGGATCTTAGTGCAAAGATTTGTTCTATCGTTGAGAAGTAAGTATTCTGTTTGAGAAAGTGAGCTCTTGCCTTAACTTTTTTTATGATCAAGAAGAGATGTATGTGAGTGTCGAGTTAACTGTTTTTTTTTGTGGATTTATTGTCAATTTCGATATGTAGGTTTTCTCCTGAGAAAATCTGGTACATTGATCAGATGCTTAAGGTTCTGTCGGAGGTATGGACTAATATACGAGACATTTTATGCTATGTTTGAGAGTTTATCTGGTCTAAGCGCTTTTTAATTGGACTTTTGGTATCGGCCTTAACCCCATTGTCCTCTATTCCGTGTTAGTAGGCTGGAAAGTTTGTGAAAGATGATGTGTGGCATGCTTTGATTGTTGTCATAAGCAATGCATCAGAGCTTCATGGATATACAGTCAGAGCATTATACAAAGCAGTCTTGACATATTGGGAACAGGTAGCTCTTATTTTCTATGTTTGATTGGTTTCAAATTTTCAATCTTCAATTTGGGTAAACCTTCATAACATGGGCTCTTTGAGATTTCAAACAGGAGACCCTTGTCCGAGTGGCCATATGGTGCATTGGGGAATATGGTGATTTGTTGGTCAACAATGTGGGGATGCTTGGTATTGAAGATCCAATAACGGTGAGCACTACAGTATTAATCTTTATTCAATACCAGATGCGCTTGCTATCTCGGATTTCTTGTTGACTTAAAGATAAAACATACAATGACTAGTTGACTGCCTTGAGCAGGTAACGGAATGTGATGCAGTGGACGTTGTTGAGGATGCCATCACTCGCCATAACTCAGACATGACAACAAAATCGATGGCATTGGTTGCTCTACTGAAGCTGTCGTCTCGATTTCCTTCTATCTCAGAGTATGTTTTAAGTTTTTTCAATCTCAGTGTCTGTTTGTATCCTCTTCGTTCATCTAATATCTTTACTTATCAATTTCAACTCTACACAAGATGCATATGCGTACTGAGTATATGAATAATGGAATTTTGGCTGTCTACCAGAAACTGCAGTGCGTAACCTTCTGAGATTAGGAATACATTATACATTCTTGCTCTCTGCTCTCTTTTAGTGATTACACTTTTTAAAAAAAAATTCAATGGCAGGAGAATTAAAGATATAATTGTGAAGCAGAAAGGGAGTCTTCTCCTTGAAATGCAGCAGAGAGCTATTGAGTTCAATTCTATCGTTGACAGACATAAAAATATCAGGTGGTTAATGAAACCCCTTCTATGTTTCTTCGTTTTCCATCTTCTAGTGTAACTTTTCATTGTGTCTGCCCCTTAGAGCTCATGAAAGCGAGGTCTCTGTGCATATAGGTCTTCTCTGGTTGAGAGAATGCCAGTGCTAGATGAGGCTACCTTCAATGTGAGGAGGGCTGGCTCTTTGCCTGCGTCAGTTTCAACAACCGCCAAGCCGTCTGTTAGTATTCCAAATGGCGTTGCTGCAGCTCCACTAGTGGACTTGCTGGACCTGGATTCTGAAGATATTCTGGCTGCACCTAGTAGTTCAACTGGTGCAGATTTCCTTCAGGATCTTCTCGGTGTAGACTTACGATCAGCGTCAGCACAATCTGGTTAGTTCTTTGGCGTCTCTACAGCTGGCTCATTTCATTTATGGCCTCCTCAGTTATGATGAATGAGCAATATTTAAAAGATCTTTTTCTGTATGGCTTTGCAATGTTTCAGGTGCAACCCCTGCTCCTAAAGCCGGCACAGATATGTTGCTGGACATTCTATCAATTGGGACAGATTCTCCGGCACAAAACAGCACACAATCAATTGATTTGTTATCAACAGCCGACGTTAACAATAATCCTTCTACGGGGCTAGACACACTTTCTTCATCAGCTCCACCTCAAATAGCAACGACTGTATCTGATGGTGGTATGTTTGATTTGTTAGATGGTCTTTCTCCAAGTCCATCAAAGGAAGGTAAGAAAATGTCTCTATATAATCACTGAAACAGAATCTATACAATCATTGAAACCATTTCACGAGGGTCAAATAACTTGCTTTCCTCCTTAATTGCAGCAACTAATGGTCCAGCATATCCACCTATTGTTGCATACGAGAGCAGCTCGTTGAAGATTGAGTTCACTTTCTCAAAGCCATCAGGGAACCCACAGACAACAAATGTCGGGGCCACTTTTATAAACTTATCTCCTAATACTTTCACAAATTTTGTTTTCCAGGCTGCTGTTCCAAAGGTCATTTCAGTTTCTTAAATTCGTCCTTTTCTTGTTTTCGCCCCTTAATATAAAGTTTTCTTTCTTTAACCTTCATTGTCTGTCGCTCTTGGAAATTACCAGTTCCTCCAGCTGCACTTGGATCCAGCTAGCAGTAACACACTCCCGGCAAGCGGTAACATAACTCAGAATCTGAGAGTCACTAACAGCCAACACGGGAAGGTATCTACACTTTCTTTCTAAGTTCATGTCTTCAAAATTAAGTTAATCAGTTCATGAGATCCGCAGCTCAATCTATGTTAAATTAAAAGATTGGTTGATCGTCTAGATTTTAAACACTCGAGGGATTGAATGTTTTATATGACAGAAATCTCTTGTGATGCGCATGAGGATTGGGTACAAAGTGAACGGAAAAGATGTATTGGAGGAAGGACAAATCAACAACTTCCCTCGCGGGCTGTGAGGCTGATTGTATTGTCAGAGCATAAGGACTTAAAAAGTAATTATTTTCATCATCCGGATTCAGAAACGAAAACGAAGGATAGAGGTCTTTACCCAAAGCCGTTAGATTCAGCAAAATCACATTTTACTCTTCCTATTTCTTTTTCGAAAAAAATTTACATTGTTGAAACAAGAAATTATGGCTTTGTTTGGGAATTGAGGTTCTCCGTGTTTCTTTTTGAGCAAGACTTCCCATGTTTGGAATCAGAAGTGATCGAGGAAGCGCACAAGTTTATCTCGTTCTGTATAAAACTTTTAAAGAGATGTGATTTACGCAAAAGTTTTGGATTAAGTAGCTAATGTTTAACCTCTTTGTTATTGCACAAAGGCCCCAGATCATGCAGTTTGTTGTTGCTAAGTGTATCAAAATATATTTTTTTAGATAACAACATAATATATGTAGGAACTATCTCTTCTTTAAATATATATATATATATATATATACATATGTGTATATATATATAATGTTTTTTTTATTTTGTGGCCAACATATATATAAACTTATAAATTTATTATTCATTAAAGGGATAGCATTGAGATCCAAAATTAAGATGTGATCATTTGGAGAAAAACTGTTATAATTTGGAGAATAGTTGAAATAGAGAGTAATTTGGGCCCCATTAACCAACATTATACCAATATTTTAAAAGATAAACATTTACGAAATAATCACTACAGATTCAATGTCTAAAGTCTTATAAAAAATATTATTTTTATTAGAAAAATAAATTAAAACAAGAAAAAGAACCTATCAGCTAAAAAATTAAAAGAAGACAAAGTGATGAAAAAGGGAATATGATAAGTGGCCAAAAAGAAATAAGAAAAATAAATAAATAAACGGGTAAAAAGGGTTCATGGGAGGGTCTTTGATCCCTGGTTTAGTGGGGGCATAATATGAAATTGGACCAACAATGCTGCTGAATTTCTGATGCTTCATTTGCAAATAAGTTTTTAGCTATTTCAATTATATATCCAAACCGACTAGGACCTGAGAGAAACATATCCATACATGAACCAGAAATTTTCAAGTACCTAATAGAATCCAAATTTGTAGTACTTGAACGCATAAAAACCGACCAAAAAAAAACACCCATAGCTAATTTCTTATACGATGATGTAATTCAATAGGTTTTTTTTTGTTTTAAATTAACTTTACAGTATTCAGAAGTTCCAAATTTTTGTGTTTCTAAAACCCTTGTTAAAAAGAAATCTTATTATAAGTCTAATGACTATATTAGTTGTATAACTTCCAAAAAATCAAGTTATACCGTTGTTAAGTTGCTATCTTTTCTAATTTGAAAACTTTTGCTTGTTTCCAAAAGAAAAAAAAAATTAAAGAAGCGAGAAAAGTAAAACGACACTGTTATACCACTTTCTTTAATTCAACAAAGAAAGAAAAACAGAGTGAGCGAACTTAGAAGGCGAACTTTTCACCAAATTCAACGATTTTCCTCACTTTCCTCACATCTCAGGTTTGAATCTATTTCAAATGGGTTTCATTTTTTTGGATATGTATTGAAATGGTTAGCTTTGCATGCAAATGAGGAAGATGAGAAGATGCGCAAGAGGTTATTGTAATACATGTATGTTACATGTATTAATGGCAAATATATTTCTTTTACAAGAATGTGAACTATTCCTAGAAAAATATAGGAAACCATTAGATTCAATGATAACTAGGTAATTATCATCAAATTCATAATAAACATTGTGAATTCTCTGTCACCATGACTCAGTATGGTTTTATTTTTGTCTTTAAGAGAAAGAAAAAGAAGTGTAATAGCCTGAAACTTCTTCCAATGATTCTTTGGATTGCCCAAAATTTGACCTAATCTGCAAACTAAAGAAACGATCATTAAAGAACACTCAAAACATGTATCAGTCTGAACCTATGAATGGAACAATTACCATGTAAAATCGGCTTTCATCACTCAAATCAGCATCCGATGGTCAGAGAGGAAATTCACTTACAAAGAGAATGATGGCCTCTGGACCACCATGATAATGTGGTATGAATGGCCTCTGGGTGAGTCACCTTCACCTCTAGATTCTTTGAGTCTAGCAACATAGAAAATAAAATCCAAATGCCCATAACGTTTTTCATCAATCCAAACCTGAAAGGTCTTAACCGATAGGTTAATATTTGGATCGTGTGCTAATAGAATGAAAGAGATAACAAATTAAACATCAACTAGAATAAAATATATTTAGATACCTCGATCATATTATAACGATGTAGTCCCACATTACAATAACTATTCACCAAATCACGGTAAGGATAACGACCACCATGTCCTTCAAAAGTCCTCATTACACAAATTGGTGATTCACACATATATGGTGGAATTGAAACTTTCTCGTCATCAAAATCCTAAACCATCACCAAAATAATTAGGCCACGAAAACAATCGTTATATTTTCCACAATCAGGACCTAAGGCAAATGCTAGAGGACTGTTGATTTCCATTAATTGTTTTTCACTTTTTCTATAACTAGTAAGTGTGAGATATCAAGCTAAGTTTCACATTGGAAAATTAGATAAAGAGTGTCTAATATTTAAATAGATGTATATCTCTAATTAGTACGAGGTCATTTGGGAAGAAGCCAAAAGTAAATCCATGTGTTCTTATTTATTAGGCTCAAAGTGCATAACATCGTACTAATCAAACAATAAAGAGTTGGATATGTGTTTTACAAACCCAACAGTAAGAACAGCTAGGATCAATCCATAATAAGCAATCGATCAAAATCTCATCAGCAACCCTAGCTAGAAGAAGATGATAAAATACTTACTTAAGATTCTCTCACAACACGCCAGTAATCGTCACACACTCTTGAGAACTCCTCTGCCAAAACATACTCCATGTCAGAGACAATATCATATGTCGCCATTCTCCCCTCTTGGTGGCTGATCTTCTAACACGAGTTTAGGACTCTTCGAAAAAATTTTATTTAAAGAAAAATCTGTGTTACCAATACCATTAAAAGAGAATTGTTTTCAAATTATATCATTAATGAAATACTAAAATATTCGAAGAATGTCATTACTATTTCAAAGAGAATTAAACACATATTCATGGTAAACCATTCATTACATTTTTGGGTTTCTATAACTAAAAACTATATACTTAACTACAAATCAAATCAGAGTTTTGTGTTTAATCTGGTCTAATTATTTTTGCAGTTTCCAAAAAAAATCAAAACGGGCTTATGGGTTTAATCTCATATTTAGCAAACATAAAACACTTGAGTGACAACTTCAATGTTTAAATATTGGTTATTTTGCAACTCATCATAACATTTAAGTTTCATTTCATATATATATAAAGTAGTCTGCAAACTAAAGAAACGATCATTAAAGAACATTGTCTGATACTCAAAAAAATAGCAGTTCACGAAATCAAGAACCACACTACTTTGAACACCTCTTTATTCAGAAGAGAACAAAATTAGAAAATATTTGTGGGTAACAAATCAAAATGTTACATAATAATAACAAAATCACTATGATGTTTCCGAAGATGTTAAAAAGGTTAACATTCTAATTAAACACAGAATGTCGTGAAGATATGTTCATGGAAGTTCACATGTGAAATAAGGGATCAAATGTATCAGCTTATATCGGCATGTGGCCACTTGCCCAGTGAGTAGCTCGATGTATTTGCACAAGAAGTCAAGTAAGATAATAAAACTTATACTAGGATAAAACCTGCGCCTTGTGCAGGGTGAATATACGTAATTAAAATATAAAATTTTAGTATTGATAAATTTAAAATTTACATATAATTTTTATATGTATGTGAAATTTTAGAATTTTTAAATAATTATCTATACGTAGGATCAATGACAATTGTAATTAGAACTGTAGATCAAATCTTAGAATTTAATGGACTCGATTTCATATAACATTTCACCTTTTTAGTGTTCGAGTGATGGAATATAAACAGAGTGTCATTAGGCTTGATTGGTAGAGTATTAGCAAATTTTCTAATGTTTTTTTTAAGAAGCAGTTGGTAAAATAATTGCATTTAAAATATATAAAGTTTGAAAACTAATTTAATATAATTTATTTATTTGCATAATAATATTACAAAACTATATTTTTAAAAACTTATTAATTGTATATAATTTTATAAAAATTAAGTTAAATTTTAAATTATTTTTAAAAACAATATTTTAAGTTTTTCAAATATAAATAAAGAATTTAAAATTAATTATTGTCATGGTTTAACATAATCATAATGATTTAAAAAATTAACAAATTAACTCAGTTTTATATCATGATTTAACAATTTAAAAATTAATTATGGTTATGAGAAGTTTACGTTCACGTGTTAATCCTATTTATCTTCAAGTTTTTCTCTTGTTGTGTTTTTTTATATTTTGGTTATTACTCGATATAAATATTGATTTTGAAGTTTATTCTCATTTCGTTTATTTTTTTTGACCTGGGATTTAGAAAATACTTAAGATTTAAAATAATTAAAAAGATACATACTTAGGTTAAGATCTGCACTTTATGCACAATAAGTATTTTATATTTATAATTTATTTTATAATTTTCTGCATATCATAAAATAATAAATGTATATTACATAACTAAGAAATCAGTCACTATTATGTAATAAATTGACGTATGCATATAAATTTAACTATCATTCTTGTTTATTCGCAATTAGCGTAAATAAATCAAAATAATCAATCTAATATATTGTATATGATATATAATTAAATTTAAATGATATAAACATTGTAATATGGCACATTTTAATATTGATATTTATTAAATGAGGTTTCTACTCATATGATTTTATGATTATTTGCATATTTGTGTAACAACACTTTACACCAACGATTTTTTTTTAATGTGAGATGTTTAGTAGTTTCAATAATTTATAATAATTTTTAAAAAACAATTACATATTTCAAAATAAAATATTAACTTTTCAATATATGTTGAAGACAAATATCAAAATATAAGTATGTATTTTCATATGATTTATAGTTTAATTAAAAAGATATAAAATATATATATAAACTATAAATTATTTCTTCATATGGTCTTATAATCATTATATTTTAAAATAGAAAAAATTAAAACTTTGATCCTAAAAGTTTATGTGAGACTTTTAACAGTTTTAGTAATTTATACTCATTTTGAAAAATTCGAAATACAACATACACAAAAAAAATCTAAATTTTTATTATATGATTAAAGTAATTGTGTAATTTATTTAATAATAAATAAATAAACAAAATGAGAAAAAGTATACAGATTGTTATCAAATCTTTATTGTTTAAAATCATTAATTGTCATATATATTTTATTCACATTAGGTAATTCCGTAGGTCTTATTTAAGGAAAGCATGCAAAACAATAAATATTTGATATATGCGACCAACTATAGTCTACAAAATATTATATTGCTAAAAAATATAATTTTTAGACTATACATTATATCACATGCTCTAGAATCCTTGAAATTTGAAATAGAAGCCAAAGAGCTATGCCACATAGGATTGGGATTATTTTTAATTCTTACAAACTTAAGGTTACAACTTTTTAAATGATTCTCAAATAATATATATAGGGGATATTTCAAAATAAAATATTAACTTTTCAATATATGTTGAAGACAAATATCAAAATATAAGTATGTATTTTCATACGATTTATAGTTTATTAAAAAGATATAAAATATATATATATAAACTATAAATTATTTCTTCATATGGTCTTATAATAATTATATTTTAATATAGAAAAAAATTAAAACCTTGATCTTAAAATTTTATGTGAGACTTTTAACAGTTTTAGTAATTTATACTCATTTTGAAAAATTCGAAATACAACATACACAAAAAAATCTAGATTTTTATTATATAATTAATGTAATTGTGTAATTTATTTAATAATAAATAAATAAACAAAATAAGAAAAGGTATACAGATTGTTATCAAATCTTTATTGTTTAAAATCATTAATTGTCATATATATTTTAATCACATTAGGTAATTCTGTAGGTTTTATTTAAGGAAAGCATGCAAAACAATAAATATTTGATATATGCGACCAACTATAGTCTACGAAATATTATATTGCTAAAAATATAATTTTTAGACTATACATTATATCACATGCTCTAGAATCCTTGGAATTTGTAATAGAAGCCAAAGAGCTATGCCACATAGGATTGAGATTATTTTTAATTCTTACAAACTTAAGGTTACAACTTTTTAAATGATTCTCAAATAATATATAGGGGATGCTAAAATAAAAAGATTTTAATTATATATATATATATATTAAAATTTTATTTATATAAATATCTTATATAATTATCAATATTTATATAAAAACAGATTTCTTATATCCATATCAAATGTATGTGTAATAATATATTTAAATATTCCAATTTTTCTATTTAACAAAATAATAATATATCTATAACAAGAGATCATATTTTAAAAATATATATTTTAATTCAAATTTATATTTATAGTTATGTAAGAAAGAAATCTGATCCACAAACAAATTATTACATAAGCACATAATGCGGCAGATATTGAAAAACATAACACAAAAGGAGAATTTGATGATACTTTACTCAATAACGAAACATTCATTCTGTTATTTCCTTTCTATGTATTTAACATTTCCCTGATGCAAATTGGGGTTTTTTGATTAACAATTTTTGGCGAGAAAAAATTATGCTAATATACTGATTGGAAAATCCAATGCTTCCATATGAAATTTTGAATTCTCGTCAAAATACAAAGGCCTATGTATCAAGTCCCAACCATTAAAATACGAAAATATGTTTCAAATGCTTACACATCGATTTGTTTGCAAAATTAGCTTTTAACTGGCCGTAGCAGATCACTGTTCGTTTGTATTTCGAATGCTTTTAAGACACGATTTGAGTTCTTATCCGTGATGGGTACATGTTTATAGAGCAACTTTAATTGGTTCGTATTTATCAATATGAGGAGTTTGTATTGAGTTCAGTGTTCCAACGTTAACAGTCTGACCTTTTTTAATGCAGGTTACGGTTGAAGAAGATCAGGCTTGCTGCGTTACATATAAAGAGAGACTAGTATAAGTTAGATGGGTGTAAACAACAAAGCCAGACAGAACACATGGTTATGTCTTTGTCACATGTGATTATCTGATCCACACATTCAAAATGGATCTTATCATCAAGAGAAGAGCCTTACTCCATGAGTTGTACTATTCTGAGCGAGGTCGCTTTTTACAACTCTGGAGAGCCACAGAAGGCTGCTTTTGAGTACTTTGACCACCACAAAACTTACCTGAAATAGTCAGGTGTCCATGCTTATCGAGGACTCTTCTGACTACAGCCTTACGTTCGACATGCTCACCGCTCTCAAAAATCATTTTACGGGTTAACACATTTGCCAGGCCCTTAAACTTTATGTAGACATTTGCACTTGTGGCCTTGAGTCTCTCATTAGGCGGCTCCACATCTTCAATACCAGTTTCTATGGCCACTTCCAGAATCTCCAATTTGGAAAAAACATGCGTCTGCAACAGAGTCAGCAACAACATTGTTGATGTTAGTTGTTATTATTACCATTAGTGTGGTGTCAATCATGATATGCAGGGGCGGCTCAGGGGGAGGGACAAACGGTGCACCGCCCTAGGGCCCACACAAATAAGGGCCCAACATTTCTTTTTTTTTACAATTTGTGTTATTTTTTTTTGTTTTAAATTGTTTTAGATGAAATTAGTTTAACAAAAAATATCTATATATATGTTTTCATAACTAAAATTTATATAATATATTTTTATGATTAAATTTATCACAAAATTTTATAAACAGATTAAATTTTTTGCAAAATATTTTTAGAAAACTAAATTTTCATTAAAAGAATGTTAAAATTTTTTTTTTGACCCAGGGGCCCTCAAAAGTCTTGAGCCGGCGCTGATGATATGTGATTAATTGATAATATAAAAATTTACCTTCTCAGTCAGCCTACCATCTGCACAAAGTACAAGTTCCAGATACATAGAAATCCAATCATTGGCTTGCCACTCTGATTCCTTCACCTGCAAAAGCCAAAAGAAAAGGATAGCACTACTTTCTTAAATGATTATGAGAAACACAAAAGTGAATAGTGTCTCTAACAGATAATCTTACCAAGTAAAACCGTTTTCCATCATTCAAATCATCATCTGACGGCCAATCAGGCAATTCACCTTTGAAGAAACTATCTGCAAGCAATTCACCTTTGAAGAAACCATCCTCATTTGCTGCATCATGAAAGGGTGGTACAAAGGGCTTCGTGGGGATCACTATGCAACAACATGATTAATCAATCATAAAAGAGATGTGAGATTTTATACCAAAAAACAAAAAGGAAAAAGAAAATGAACCATAGTGCAAAACAAGTCACCTTCATCTTTAAGTCTGGAAATGGAGCACGTAATATCCAAACAGTGTATTTCGGCCTCATCAACTTTCACCTGGAAGGTTTTCTTCAATGGGTCAAGAGCTGGATCGTGTGCAAGCAAAGTCATGTAGAAAGAGCACCGACAATTATGTAACATGTTGAATTTCACTAGGGAATCAAGCTGGAAGTTTGTCTCCTAGACAATGAAAAAAATAAGTAAAGTGAATGAATATCATGTTGGTAAAGCAGGGAGAGAAGAGGAGACTAGTTTGTTTGTTTGTTTTAATTTACCTTAAACATATTGTAACGATGAAGCCCCAGCTTAGCATAAAGGTTGACCATTACAGGATAAGGATAACTCTTACAACGTACACAATCGTAGGGCATCAGTCCAGTGATCACTCCAGAATTTGGTGGTAATGAAACATTCTCTATATCGAATCCCTAAGACCAGAAGGAAAAATAATCATCAGTCCATAATTTAACAACCATAGAAGAAGGGATCGATTTAGCTTTAAATATTGAAAGCTAAGACTCATCAGCTAGCGAACAATCCATCCATAAACAATCTAGAAGCGATCGGTTTATTTTAAATTCCAAGTCTAAGATCAATCAGCAAATAATCAACTCCATAAACAACCTAGAACGTTCGATCGATTCTAAGAACATCATATACTATAAACTAAATTCTATAAAACAATAAGAAGATGGAAGATTTACCTCGGATTCTTTCACTTGACGCCAATAATCCCTCTGCACGTCATAAGAACCTACCGACTGATTTTCCAAGGTCGACATATTCTCGTGATCGTGGTGGTGGATGCTTCTTTTTCAAAGATTTTTTTTTGATCAGGCTATATATCACGTCATAAGAACCCACCAATAGCATGAGTTATTTCATATTTGATATCTTTTAAATCCTAAATCATAATCTTAAACCCTAAACCATTGAGTAATCATAAACCCTTTGGAAAAATACTAACCCTTGGTTAAATTAATACTAACCAATTATATTATTTTTATTTATTTTTATCTTTTTATTTTAAAACATAATATTTTGTAACAAGATTTTGTTTTTATTTTACAGATATATTAAAATAATTTTTTAAAATTGTTTCTTGAAATTATTACTGTTTTTATATTATTTTTATCTTTTTATTTTAAAAACATAATATAATGTTAAAATATTTTTTAAAGAATTTATTTTCGTTTTTGTAAATATTATTATTTTTATTTATTTTTTTCTATTTTTATTTTGAAAACATAATATAACTTGACAAGATTTTATTTCCTTTTTTAAAAGATATCAAATATGAAATAACACAATCCTATTGGTTGGTGAACCCAAGAATAAGTCATATATCACTATTACATTTATATATCTTTCTAATATAATTTCCTTTAAAATTATCTCTAGTTTAATTATGTGATATACTTTCCATTTATTTTGAGAATTATAGAAGTTTACCATTAATTAGCAATAATTAAACTGCGGACAAAATGATTGTTTTAAATCTTACATGGAATCAAAATAAAAAAAAAGTCAGTAATTTTACCGTAACCTATTAAGACACCTCAGAGAAATAATCAGTCCATAAACAAACCTAGAAGGAATCGATTCCATTGAGTTGTCTAGAAGGTACGAAGAACAACTAAGGTGATGATTGTTTGTTTGATTTCTATATTTTGGATTTGGGTTTTACATTTTAGATTTTAGATTTTGATTTTGGGTTTTGTATTTTGCAGTATATTTTAGTTTTAAAAAAAAATCATGAATGGTGATTTTAGATTTTGGTTTCTAGTTTTTGATTTTTTTTATTTAAGATACTAAAATAATTTTTTTACTAATAGTAAAATATTTATTCTGGAATTAATAAAATATAAAATATTATTACCAAAACACACTTAATCTTATTGTAAAATAAAAACAGTAAACACAAAATAATATAATTCTATGTTTAACATAGGCTTTAAAAGAACAATTTTATGCTGAAACATACATATATATATATATTATAAACTTGAACATATATTCATTAACGATAAATTACAAAAGTTTAATTATATGTGTAGAATTTAACTAATATGAATTAATTTTATGTAAGATTTAGAATTAAATAATTGTTGATAAATGTTATTTACAAATTTAAATTAAGAAGTTAACAAATATTTCGAATATATAAAAATTAAATATTTGAAAAACAGTTTTGGAACAGATGCCCCCTAACAGCGAAGGTGATTCACCAGATGATAACAACTCAAAAGATGAATGGCATGCGTTCACCATATCTGAGATCCCATTGACAGTGTTGTAACTTGTAACAGACATGGAAGTCACATACGCATGAAGTGGAATTAACTGGGATTACTATTCCATAGACAGATTCTTGTTATTCTTAATTCATAAATCTTATCGGATTCGTTCTTCAACCCCAGGACTGGTTCTGTCTTTAATCCTTAATTGCTGGTTGGATTCATTCACTCTTGGTTGTGACAATAATTCCGTCAATGTCTTTGTCCTTATTATGTATAAAAAGGGTCGCAAAGTTAGATATCAAAGACATACTAAAACCAAAGCGTGCATAAATCTCAATGGTGCCTGTAATAACGATTAGTTTAGGACTAGAATGTGAAATGAACAATAAAGCTAAAAATCATCACATTGTCAAAACGCACAAACTAAATGAACTTTGTTGTATCTGAAAACAATACACACTTGAAAAAGGGGGAAAGAAAAAACACAAATCCACCAGACGCATAAAATAGCATAGTTTGTTGATCTGATCAACATTGTTAAATGGACATGTTATATATAGTCTAAGAACGACGGCGAGTCTGAGCTTTTTTAAAGCTCTGAGCTTCTTCTCCACTCTGGCGTGTCACAGAACTCTGCTTTTTACCACCACAAAGCTTACCCAAGAGGCTCATCTCTCATGTCTTCTCACAGATGACTCTTCCAACAATAGCTCTCCGCTCAACATGTTCACCTACTTTAAAAATCTGTAGAAGAACTTCAGGTTCAGCCAAGCCCTTGAAGATTATGTAAATGTGTGCACTTTTGGCCTTGAGTTTCTCTTTTGACTGCTCCACATCAGAATCACCAGCATTAGTTTCTACGACCACATTAACAATCTTTAACTTGTTCACATAGTCGCTGACCCTCTGAAGCAACATCAACAACAACAGTTTGTCATCTTGTTCAATTTGATCAGAGAAGATAGCTGGTAGTTTGTCCCCTGACAAACGAATAAAGGAAATAATAGAGTGGAGGAGATAACAAATTAAACACCAACTAGAATAAAAATATATTTAGCTACCTCGATCATATATTATAACGATGTAATCCCAATGTACAATAATTGTACAATAATTATTCACCAAATCACGGTAAGGATAACGACCACAATGGCCTTCAAAAGTCTTCATTACACAAATTGGTGTTCCACACATATATGGTGGAATAGAAATATCCTCGAGATCAAAACCCAAAATAATCAATCCATAAGCAACAACCTATTTATTTTCCACAATCAGGACCTAAAGCAAACGCTAGAAGATGTTGATTTCCGTTCAGTAGTTTTCTATAAACTAGTAAAAACAACTAGGATCAATCCATAATAAGTAATCGATCGATACCTCATCAGCAACCCTAGCTAGAAGAAGATGATAAAAACAATACTTACTTCAGATTCTCGCATAACACGCCAGTAGTCGTCACGCACTCTTGCGTACTCCTCCGCCGAAATATACTCCTCCTCTGTCGTCATTTTCATCCTCTTCCAACTCGATTTTAAGGCTTTTACCAAGTTTTTATTGTGGGGATTTATTTTAAGACGTGTGTTTTAAAATTTCTCTTAAATAAACCATTATGGGTCTGTCAGGTTTTGCCCTTCCTGGTTTAATCCAACATTCAGTCGTGTTTGGTATACAATTTGGTCGGTTTTAGAAATAAAGTTTCCAAAAATTCTCAAACAGAAAATTTTCTAGAATGCAAACTTTCCTAAATAAAAGCTTTCTAAAAATAGAATTAGGGTCCTTATGTTAGAAAATATCTAGAGTTCAAAATAGTCATTATGCAGCACAATAACATGAAGGGCACTTAACCAATTTGGGTTTGGAGATGGATCGAGAAATCACAACATGGATCACAAGTGGTTACATGCGTACGATTTCAACCACGAGGGTGACGAACATGATCATACTTATGAACGTAGACATGGAGCAAGTGTCATACGAGTTGATCGATTTGAAATTTAAACCATGAAATTATTATTTCGTCACAAAATTGTTTTGTGGGGAAAGGTTTACAATACATGTAAATAATAGGTGTTTTTGCGGACATTAACATTTTATAATTACTCATTAATCCATCTATTACTAATTAAAAACTAACGATAAATTATTATTAGTGTTTTCATTTGAAGATTTTTTTTTGACATCCATTTGAATATTTTTAAGTAATATGTTTTTTTATTTTTTTCGAAAATTTATATATATACCATATTCATTATTATTAATTAAATCTTAAAAATTACTCAGTATTATCTTTTAAATTATATAAATTTAAGAGTTTTACTTAATTAATATTTAGTTATGTATTTTATTTTGCATTTTTATCTTTTTATTAAATATTTTCAGATAACATCACAATAGATAACAGCAAAATCACATCTTAAATAATAGTAAAGATAGATAGAATATGTACATTAACAAACAAAAAGTTGTGCTCCTCCAACAAAATATATTTTTAACTTGAAAAAATGAAGAATAAAATAATATATTTCATATTTATATTTCATCTATACTAAATGTAGGCATGGTGACATTTATCCCGAACCAAACCAAAAAAAAGGGTTCTATAACGGATCCTAGACTATGAGTATTATTAGGAATCAATGCCTATGTCAATTGAGCAGTATCAAGTTGTGCCATGTTGGCTGAGTTTGCTGTGCCGTCTCTTCGCTTGATCCATATGGCTGATGTGATAAGATCTCTGTGCCGTCTCTTCGCTTGATTCACATCTAGCCTTAGTCCTCCTTGGGTATACGACGTCTCCCCGAACATTTTTCCGGATATCTCCTATCCTTGCCTAAAGAAACTTTTACGTTGCTTTGTATATCGATCAGTTGAACTTGAACCATATGATGTGTTCAACACTATAGATCGATCAAGACATTTGATTCAAGTAATTACTTCTCAAAATACAATCATGATAAAATATAATCACCTGCTAAGACTTTCGTTCTGGTCGAACAACTATAAATATAATGTTTTTGGCTCATTTGGGTATGGATCCCAACCATTAAAATAGGAAAATATGTTTTAATGCTTAAGATGTTAAGAAAAAATGTTTTAATGCTTAGAGCACCCCCATCAGAGTTCACACGCAAACCAAGAAAAATAATAATATTAAAATCAGATTTCTATGAATTTCTATCTTAAAAGTTCATCGCGGTGAATCCCGATGACCCCAGATTTACCACGTGTCAGCTAATGATTGGTCCATTATTAATTTTTTTTTTTTTAAAAAAAAGTAAACGAAAACTAAAAAAGAAAAAAAAATTTTATTTGTGTGAACCCCCAAGGGGATTCATCAATATGGATGCACTTACACGTCGAATCTGGCTGTTTTATATGTGCGTCGACTTGTTTGCAAATATGGCCTTCAACTTGTATATGCACTTGCACCAAAATTAACGTACAAGAATATATTTACGTATACATACAGACTAAGTAACATTAGAAAAAAAACGTATATATACAGACTCACATCTCCCAAAACAAGAATGGGTATCATCAGTGCGTGTCGGTAGAAACTTCAAACATGAGTTTAGTATCACACTGTAATCCTACGGTGTTTATGATCCTTGCAATACAATGGTGGCAATTTTTTGTTTTTGTTAATGAATGTCAAATTTATTCCTCAAAAACAACCTGTGTTCATCATGTGTAACTCAGTATTTTGAAAGATCAACGTAAAGAATAGAGTAAAAATCTAATGTCTATGTTATCTTGAAACAAATCATACGCTCAGCCCGTCATCATATTTGTTGTCTCCTCTTCTTCTGATTGCAGAAAGCCTATTCTTGATGGTTTTGTCTATTCTTTCCATGAGATGTATCGGTGGATGCTCATATTACCCATGCCTGCGCTGCGCCTGTTTCTGTGCAACCGTCTGAAAAACATATCGCAACAAGAAAAGCCTGATCCTGTCTTGCCTTCGATCAAGCATCAATGTTACAATGCCGTCCCAGTCCTCTGTATATTGGTACATCAACATTCCTGTCATGAGCTTATCCCAGATTTTACTTGAGAAGGGACATGAGAAAACAGATGAATTCTCGTCTCCAAGTTTTGTTGATAAAACCGTGCAAACCCGATTAAAAGTTCCAGCGACAAGTGATATGTGACTGCCTTTGTTGTGTGTTCTCTTCAGTTGAAACATTACAAAAAGGATTTGCCGATGTAGATTACATTTCGTTTGTATTTTGTATTTAGAATGCTTTTAAGAGACGATATGAGTTCTTATTCGATCGTAATGGTACTCGTTGATTAATCATCTTTAATTGGTTTGTATTATTAATATATGAGGAGTTTATATAGATATTAGAGTTTCAACCTTAACAGTCTGATAACGCAGGTTACGGTGAGTTGTTGCATTACGTATGAAGAAAGACTAGTATAAGTTAGATGGGCTTAAACAACCAAACTATACCGAACACATTCTTATGTCCTTATCGCATGTGATTATCTGATCCATATTTTCAAATGGATCCTGTCATTACTACATGAGGAGTTGCACTAGTCTGAGCGAGGTCGCTTTTTACAGTTCTGAATTTTCTTTCCATTTTGGAGAGCCAGAGAAGGCTGATTTTGAGTACTTTGACCACCACAAAACTTACCCGAAAGAGCCATGTTTCCGCTACGTTCATTGACGACTCTTCTAACTACAGCTTTGCGTTCGACATGCTCACCACTCTCAAAAATCATTCTGGGGGCTATAACATTTGCCATGCCCTTAAACTTTATGTAGACGTTTACACTTTTGGCCTTGAGTCTCTCATTCGGAAGCTCCACATCTTTGACATCAGTTTCTATTGCCACTTCCAGAATCTCCAATTGGGAGAGAACGTCCCTCTGTAGCAGAGGCAACAACAACAACATTTTTGTTATTATTACGGCAATACCATTAGTATCAATCATGATATGTGATTAATTGATATGTAAAAAGCTTACCTTCTGGATCCTCCTATCATGTGCACAAATTACAAGTTCCAAGTACATATGAATCCAATCATTGGCTTGCCACTCTGATTCCTTCACCTGCAAAATACAAAAGAAAAAGGAAAGGATATCACTATTTGCTTAATTGATCATGTGAAAAGAAAACTTAATAGTGTCTTTTACAGATAATCTTACCAAGTAAAACCGTTTCCCATCATTCAAAGCATCATCTGACGGCCAATCAGGCAATTCACCTTTGAAGAAACCATCCGCCACTGCGCCACCCTGAAAATGCGGTACAAAGGCCTTCTTGGTGATCACTATGCAACAAGTCAACAACAATATTAATCATAATGAGATGTGAGATTTTATGTAGAAACAAAAAAACACCATAATAAACAATAGTGCAAAACAAGTCACCTTCATCTTTAATTCTGGCAACGGAGCATTCAAAATCCAAACAGTTTACTTTTTGCTCATCAACTCGCACCTGGAAGGTTTTCTGCAATGGGTCAGGAGCTGGATCGTGTGCAAGCAAGGTCATGTAGAATGAGGACACAATAGTTTGTGACATGTTGAGCTTCACTAGGGAATCAAGCTGAAAGTTTGTACCCTAGCAGACAGAAAAAAAAGTGAGTGAATGTGGTGGTATAAGGGAACAATATCATGTTGATAAACACACAAAGAGAAGAGGAGACTAGTTACCTTTAACATATTGTAACGATGAAGCCCCACCTTAGCATAAAGGTTGACCATTACAGGATAAGGACAACCCCCCCTGTCACGTACACAATCGAAGCGAATTAATCCAGTGATCACTCCAGAATTTGGTGGTAATGAAATATTCTCTAAATCGAAGCCCTGTCAACAAAATAATCAAAATCCATGAATAACCTAGAAGCCATCGGTTTCTTTTAAATATCGAGAGTTAAAGATCCATCAGCAAATAATCAATCCCCCTAAAACAGCCTAGAAGCAGCACTCGATTTTAAGAATATTTGATTAGGGGTAGAGGGTATAAATTCATCATCACATAGTATAAATTAAAATTCTATAAACAATAAGAGGATGGAAGACTTAACCTCAGATTCACTGACTTGACGCCAGTAATCCCTCTGCACGCTGCCAAAATCCAACGCCGGAGTTTCCGAGGTCGACATATTCTCCTCCTCGTCGTAGAGGTGGTGCATTCTTCTCCTTTTGTTTTTTCTTGAATTATCGATCAGAGCTATATATGACTATTGTATTTATATATATATATATATCTATCTGATTTACTTTCCTTATATATTATTTAGTTTAATTATGTGATATTAGTTTCCATTTTTTTTAATCAATACTCCCACCGTTTCAGAATATATGTCATTCTAGGTTTATTTTTCTGTCGCAAATTAAGTGTCGTTTTAAAGTTTTGAGGCAAAATTGATTAATTTTATATAATATTTTATTTTTCTATTGGTTGAAAAGTGGTTAGGTGTATAGGTAACTGTGTTTTTATCTTGCAAATATGTAAAATTAAATATTTCCTTTTTTTGGAGAATTATTGAAGTTTACCCTTTTTTTTAAAAAAAAAATGACAATTATTGATTGTTTTATATCTTACGTAGATAGTTCAATCAAATTAAAAGAATCGTTTATTCTATCGTAAACTAATTAAGAGACCTCAGAGAATAATCAGTCCATAAACAACCCTAGCTATAAGCGATCGGTTCCATTGACTTGTCTAGAAGCTATGAGTAAGTAACACAACGCAGGCATTACCAATCAAACTGATTGCATTTGACCTGCTATTTGTGGCTAAACAGTCCCGGAGAATACGTAGCGCAGACAAGTTCAAACACACTTTCTGATTCTACGTCAATCAATCTCCTTACAATCATAAATTAACAACATAAGAGTTATATCTTAGCAAAATCGAAACATAGCCGATAGAATAACGAGTGAAGCTAGTAAAGGATGAAGCTTGTAAATTCTTGTAAATTCTTTATTAATACAGCTTTGATTGCATTCTCGATATTGATCACTGACTATCAAAAGTTAGCGCCGTTTTTATCCAGTTAGACAAAGCCAAATACGATTTAAACTAGTTGAGCTGATGTTAAAAAAAAAAAAAGAATTGGAAATGAGAAAGAGAAACTGAACCGTCTAAAACTAATAAGAATGTCTCCAACCATTCTCTTACTAATTATTCAAACATAGTAATAAGAAATTAACTTGAAGTCAAATAGGATCGCCATAGTCTTTAACAGCTCATGTTTCCCTCTTGAAATGCACCAAACGTCACCCTTAGGACTATAGGCTATACCAACAGTGCCCGTCAAATGTTTCAGATTTTCAGATACTTTAGTAACATGTTTTACCGGTTTTATTATTTGAAGAACAATAAAATTATAAAAAAACTGGTTTTGGTTTAAATTTATCAAGTTAGAGATGTTAATCGATATGCAATTTCATTTTTTTCATTTTTAATATCGAAAAATTGATTGACGATTTCGTTTTTCGGTTTGGATAAAATAGTTTGTATACGTATCCATTAACTTTGATGCTGATAGAGGTCAACATTTACTCTTTCTTAAATTTACCATTGTGTATATAAAAACAATACTCTGCAAATTAAATCGTTCTATATATCATTCATCTTGAAAGCCTTAACGAGTTTATACACCCAATATGCCGAACGTGATTAAAAATAATACAACAATAAACGTATAAACATATCAAAAATCTATTTCAACTAAGTTGTTAGATTATATTCTAAATAAAGACGCACCTTGTAATTTAGAAAAGATCAAAAGACTATATATTAAGCTCTTCATCAGTCTCCTTTAAATAATTGATAAGTATGTCGATGATCCACACTGGATCCTCAACGTCATGGCGGATCTTCTCGAACTCGACGGTCCACACCACGCGGCTACCATTGCCCTCGTCTTCCTTAGGAGTGACCATGATGGTTGCTTTGAATGTCTTGAAACTATCCGAGACTAGATTTCCACTTAAACTCAGCGTTACTGTTCTTTTCTCCCAACCCACCGACTCGGTGACCTTCTCCTTCGCTACGGTGAAATTAAATAACATCAATTAATTGAGGGTCTTGAACAATATGATAAAGAAATATGAATGAAATGTGGAAGAGTTAAATGATTTACATATTATGTGAAAAGTGTTACTTATGTCGTCGGTGAAAGATGTAAAGAATGTGTCCGCCGGAGACTTGATGTCAAACTCCCCGGAAGAATCTCCGTGTAGTGCCATGCTCTCTCTTTTTCTATTATATATATTTTGTTTAGCAAGAAAGTATATATTTATGTGATAAAACTATGCTCCTTTCGGTGACGGTGTTTATATATAGAGATGAAACTTGCATTTGCGTGTTTTACTTAACCCTACACTTCTCATTTTTTCACCATATCGAATCTTTATAATATAAACCGATGTATCTGTCATGAAATAATTAGACGACACGGTCTAGTCTTTTTCTGCATGTAACTAAGTTTCACAAAAATGCGTGCATATCAGTTTATTAATTGGACAAAATATCGAATCCTTCACATAATTCACCCACCCAAATAATTCTGTAGCACATGAGAACAAAAATAAATTAAGAAGACCAAACTAATATCAGCTGCCTAATGTATAAACTAAATCTAACCAAGCGTATAATAATTTGTCTCGTAATTGATTATGTTTTAGTATTAGCCGATGGTATGTGATAAAATTTGAATGGTTTATGAATATCATGACATTACTAGTAACAAATGCTCTAGTAACTCTTTCCTGTCTGAAATCATGTATGTTTCACAAAAACATTTACTAAATCAGTTCGTTGGATAATAAGCAGTCAGAGTCTTGCTTGACGCGCAAGAAAGCTAATAACCTTGTTCACATACTTTTTTTTGCCTTTAGAAGCACGTGACCTTGTTCACATACATGGTTTTCATTAGTTTTTAATATTACTTTGGTTAATTTTTCCAGAGATTGTTATAGCAAAAAAAAAAAAATCGGTTGCAACTTGTGTTACGGGAACCGACGGGTTTGAAACTGTAAAACTAACCGGCGTAGGTGAAGTGAGCGGTGGCTCCCGCGCGTGTCAGGCTTCAAAGGAGAAAATCCACTACAAGACAAGGTCACGTACCAAAGTTTAAGCAAAAAAATAAGACAGGTCACGTGCTTCGAAAGGAAAGTCCACGTGTTGATCACCGTCACTTTCCACAACGGTGATAGGGATTCTCTCCCCAAATTTTTTTTTTTTAAAAAAGAACATCAGAGCTATAATTTGCCTGTTGCTTGAAAATTATAATTGAAGATTGTGCTATAATTTGACTGTTGCTTGAAAATGTTTACATTTTTGTTTATTTATATTTAGATGTGCTTAACTTTCAGTAATATATTAGATCGATGAGCATTTGGAAGAGCATATAATTTGGTCCTTTAAGTTAAACAAATTAAACTTGAACTTTTGACAAAAAATTACAAAGTCTTAGCAATTGCATTTTGCTTCTTTACTACACTTTTAAGAAAAAAATACTTATATATGCAATGTTCAAAGAAACCAATTGGAACCAATAATTAATTGGTTTTATCTCTAAAACTAATAATGTGGGCTGATACGAAATCCATGAACTGAGAATCGTTTTGACTAATGAGTATAACGAAATAAATGTCAGCAGATTTCAAGTCACTCAACTTACTAATTTTAGTTGCTATATGATGCATTGGCAAAACAAACTTTGTTTGATGTGTCCCTTGTAATACCTCCAACAGGCTTTGTAGTTTGATTTCTAATGGAAGTTACATAAATATATGAGTATCCAATGTGTTTAACACTATTTTTACACTAAAATAACAAAACAATTAAGTAACTATTTTAACCATATAACTCGTAACTTAGTGACTTTCAAAAGAAACATGCAATGCAATCATTTTTATTTTTAAATATTCAGAAGTTTCAAAACTTCGTGGTTCTGAAACCCTAATTCAGGTTTAAAAACTCTTACTAAATTAATTTTTTTAATAACTTTTCAGTAATGTGCTATTGAGACTCCTTAGTTGGGCTCTGGTATAAATCTTATGTCCTACTGGCTGTTTTAAAATCGATAAACTATTTTCTAAATAGGTGAATTACAAACCTTTATCGCCAAAAGAAAACGTTGCTAAACTGTTTAAAAGTGTAATTAATAAAATGTACTACTAAAATATCATGCATACGCGTATTTTCAAAGACACACGCATCTCCAGTAATCAAACTCCGGAATCATAGACAAAATTATTCAGTATCCATAAGGAGGTTCCACTTTATTTAACTTCATAATTAGATAAGCATAAAACTGACCGAGACAACCGGACCCTCTTATATATTTAAATTGATTTAGGATCGAGGTTTAGACGCTGGAGTTCTTAAGGAGATACTCATCGATCTCTTTAAAGTTCTTGACAGCAAAGTCCTTGATGACGTGTGGATCTTCAATCTCATGGCCGGTCTTCTCAAACTCAGCAGACCATTTCAAAATGCCGCCACTGCCCTTGGGAGTAACGGTGATGGTTCCTTTGAATGTCTTGTAGTATTCCAACATTTCACCGCCAATGATGCTGTACGTCATGCTTTTGTTTTCCAAATCCACCGCTTCAATCCTCTCCGCTGATACCTTCACCAGTGTGGACCCTTTATATTGTTAAGAATATAGCTCATTAATAAACAATGAAAGGGTAAAACTACTAATGAGGAAATGTAAAGCTTTTAGGGACTTTGATGATTTTGAAAACTAAGAAACCATCAAAAAACATGTAAGTTTTCTTGTTAAATATATGTAAACACGTTTGAATAAGAAATATATATATGTAAGCCTTTTTAAAATAATAAGAAATTTATATATATATATATGTGGCAACATGAAATGTACCTTCGCCATAAATAATTAAGCGAATGGTGCCAGGAGAGTTGCCATCTCCGGCAAGAACTTGCATTGTTTTGTAGTCCTTAGGGAACTCTCTGGGCAAGAGATTGACACCGTCACCTAGTGCTGCCCAGAACTGTTCTGCTGGAGATTTAACCTCAACCTCCACATGAAGAACACCACTCAATCCCATTTTCTAACTTAACAAGCTCGATTATTATTAGAAGTATTTGTTTATGATATTAAGCTTGCCAGTGAACGTTTTTATTTATAGAGAGATTTTTAGAAGCCCAATTGATATGGTAATTGCATTAAATTTGCAACAACCCATCCAACTAATTATTCATCCTATGGGTCCTTTGAAATTTAACCAAAAGCTTATGCATTTGCATTCTGCATTGATATCTCACCCAACCATGTCGGTAGATGAATATATTGGTGTGCATACCAAAATATCTAGCTTAATTATCTATTTATGTATAAAAGTTAATCTATACATTGTCTTTTCAAATACCGAAATACCCCATATCCAATTCATTTGACGTATGTCAATCATTGGTTATCTCAGTTCACGCAACATGTGTACGTAAGAATACTGACATGAAAATGGTTCAATATCTGAAGGAGGATTCTATCCCGCTTCAGTGATCTCTTCTTCGGACTTAATTATGGCTTTTTGATTGTGAGGGATGACCACTGAATCTATAACGTCTATTTACTATTTAATTAGTTCGACAAAGAACCAAGTAAGTGACTGGTAGCATATCATTTATCACCTCTTTAAAGAACATCATAACTATGTGGACCAACATTGTGATCAAGATGACGTTCAAATGCTCTTAAAATAATATAATCACTTCGAACATAGTATCCTTGGTTGAGAGTTGATATTTTTTTTTTAAAGTATCCTAGTGATTGCAACATTACAGTAGATCTGAATTATTGCTCTTCATCCTTACAATAACTCTCTTGGCATGGTTATAGGTATACAATTCATATACTAACCATTAAAACGCAGCGTTTTAGCTGATTCGCCAAAGGCCCATATAACTATTTGGGCTTAAATAAGGCCCATATCAACGACATATTTAAAACGTGTTCAGTAAATCGGCGTTTCAGAAACGCGCGATTCACGGCGTTCGCCATGGAACCAGCAGGAGCATCGGTGGCCAACGACAACGGAGCAGAAGGCGAGAAATTCTCTACAGGGAATATCTACTCCGTCAAGTTAATCACCGGAGATGAGTTCAGAGGGATCGTCATGGCTTACGATCCAATCCGAAACTTCGTCGTTTTCGATATCCTTTTTCAAACGTTTTTTTTTTCCGAACTCTAATTTTATGATTTCTGATTATCTTTTGTTTATGATTCCTTGACGAAAGTGATTGGCTTTGTGTTCCACAAGAGGGTTCGAAACCGAGACGTGGGGATTCGAAGAACACTCGGATGGTGAATGCGAGTTTCATTACAGGGGTTTCGTATTTGGGCAAAACAGAGGAATTGTGTCTGACGGAGAGGTGTTGGGTTAATCTTGATGGGCTTCGAGCTAAGGAGGCACTTGCTATCAGGTGGGTTTTATTAAAGTTGAATCCTTTTTTGGTATGAAGAAGTGTTTAGCTTAGTGTTTTGAGGCAGGCAAGCGGAAGCAGATGCGGAGAGGATGGGTGTTGGTGTTACTGCTGAGGCGCAGAGTATCTTCGACGCGTTGTCTAAGACGTAAAAAGTTTTTTCCTTTTTTTAACGTTTTTGAAACTAGTTACTGTGTAAGAAGAATACCAGTTTTGCTTCTTTTTTTACGAGTTGGGTTGTGTGGGTTTGGTTGCTGATAAGTGATAGCTTTAGTAGATCCTCATCAGATAGCTACTTACTTAGTTTTGAATGGAACTTCCTTGAGCTTCTGTTGTGTTATTGCGAAGTTAAACTGTTAGGTTGTGGACATGATTTTAGTGTTGTATTAGTCTACTTTCCTTGTTGAAGCTCTCTTTGAAAGAAAATATATGCAAAGTTTGTCTTTTTCACCCTTGAGCTGTACTGTTTGAGTACCATTTGCTAGTCGGACTCCTTTCTAGAGTCTTTAGTGCATTTTTGGAGGAAAAATAGGATCGTATTGTGTTCGAATTTTATGGTTTTAGACTACATATGTTGTGTGCTCTAGTGTCAACTATTCGTTTGTAGTCTTCTCTACGATACAATTAAGCAGTTGAGATGCTTTGTCTTAGTTTTCATATTATCTTGAAATTTTCTTAGTTTGGGTTGAGTAAGTATAGCAGAAGTGCTTTGTCTCTTTTCTAATCAAATGTATATGATTTTTTTTATTACAGGCTTCCTGTGCAATGGGAAAACTCAGACATTTTGGTGATGAAAGAAGTACGTGTGCGTAGCCCTTATCTTTCCACTTGTGTCTTTGGAGGAACTGATGCTGCCAACAACCGAGTCAAGAAAGTGGTAAGCCTCACTTGCATTTCATTGTGTCTGATTTTAAAGCCTCTCTGTGTCTGTGATATTAATGCTTCATTATTTTCCCTCATCACAGCTTGAGCTGGAGAGACGAAGGTTGCAACTCTTTGCCACATGAGTCCAGTGAAAAGAGTCGGTCAGTAAAAAGATCTAATCGACCAATGAGAAGTGTGTGTTTCACTTTTCGCATGTTGTTGTTTTTACCTAGAATCTGCTTGTCTTAGATTTTCAGGGATTGAAATTCATGTGGATTACGCCATCTCCTTGTTTTTGTTAATGTTATTACATCATCTTATTTAATACACGAGATATACAACTAACCAACGTAAGCTTAGACAACAGATCAAGATACTATCAAACTTTAGCTTGAGAACGGCTCATCAAGCATCACAAAAGATGTCTTAGTGTGTAATGTTTTCAAGTTCCGACAAAGCCAACTCCAGAGACGAGAAAAGCAGCCGCTTGAATGAAGAGATAAATATATAACAATGTGTTTCCAAAGAAAAGTCCATAGCAAGCACAACACAGTATGTATACCCCCATCATTATCTCCTTCGAGTTTATGCTGCAACCAACCAAACACTCTTCTAAGTATTTTATCAAGTTTTTGTTTTACTTAATTAATTAGTTACCTTTCGAAACAACCGTTACGAGGTTTACCAATCTGGGGAAGTAACTTAGTCTTAAGAGCATCTCCTAGCTTCTCAGTAACAACCCATTCATTCACTCTTCCTCCTTCGAGTATGCCAATGAATGTTCCCTTTGTCCGATGCATGGACATCACGTTTTCAAACAAGACCCAAAATATCACGAGATGAAATGATCTACAATATAGTGAAGGGTAATATATACAATTAGGTTTGTATATTGAACAAAATGAATCAGAAAGTATATAGTAGTAACCTTGGTGTAGCAATGACAATAAAGAGAGTGATGAGAGATGGAATGTAGAAAGTTGACCAAGCTGGAATGTTGACTTCAGGGAAGAAGACGCTTGTAGGAAGAATAATGCAGTAGAAGAAGAAAGTGAAGAAGTGTACTACGATCTTCCGTAAGAAGAAGAAGCTGTAGATGAGATACAATTTCTTCCATAACGTCACTCTCTGCTCATTATTACATGTAGAGATTTAGCGTTAAGGTTATGATGTCAACTTGGTTTATACAGTTAACAGAAAGAAAATAAATCAATCTTTCAAATAACATGTTTTAACCAACCCAAACCAAATAAACCTAATTTAACCAAACCAATCATCTAAACCATTATGCCATTACAGTAAAAAAAATCAATTTCATATTTATTTTCAATTAAAGCATAAGAGAAACAACAAAGTGAACGAAAATGATATAGTAGTTCCAAATTTTAGCCAAAAAATGATATAGTAGTTATTAGTTAGAAGAAAGAAAAAGACACCAAGAAATCTTTGGTCCAAAAAAATGACACCAAGACATCAACATCAAGGGATAACCAATCAACAAAGAAAGTGTACGTCAGCCTCACATCACATGACACGTTTGTCTCTCAGAGTAAAAAGATGGATAAAAAAACAAAATAGTTGTGGTAGGTGAGACAAACAATGTGGGCACGTGTATGTTTGTCAAGATGAAATTCACAAATTAGAAGAAAAAAAGACCTTATTGCGAATAATCTCCATAATCATTTTCCTGAAGAGATTGGCTGGACCACAGGACCATCGATGCTGCTGGAATCTAAAAGCTTTAAATTTACTTGGTAGCTCGCTTTTCACCTACAAAGTGTACATGTGCAAAATGTAATGATTTTGATAGACAACATGTACATATAGCAATGATTCAATATAAATATCATTGAGCTTCAAGACGAGAGTGTTACTTAATGGTTATCATTCAGTATGATGAGTAAATTAATGTGATAAGTTTATAAGATTTGGTAGGTAAGCTTCTTTTAAAATTAATGGTTAATTAATTAGGAACAGAATCGAATACCGTGAGGTCATGAAGGAAGACAAATTTCCATCCGAGGAGACCAGCACGAACCGCCAAGTCCATGTCTTCTACGGTGGTTCGGTCATTCCATCCTCCAGCTTCTTCCATCGCCGCCATTCTCCATACACCCGCAGTTCCTAGAAGAGATTTCAATTTTGTATGTATGTAATAAAAAGAATAAGATAACATGTTTTGATAGGAGAATGCACCATTGAAGCTAAAAAAAGCATGTCTAGTGGATCCAGATTCTTGCTCTGCCATAAAGTGGTAATTGAGTGACATCTCTTGAATCCTTGTCATCAAGCACTTGTTTGCGTTCACTGCAATGGGGTCAACCCCACACACAGAAACCACTCAGTTTTAAACTAGACTTTTGTTAGGATTCTTAGACCAAAAAAATGGAAGGGGCATCATCTACATACTGTACAATAGAGAATTAAATTCAATATATTACTAGTTTTTTTTTTAAGATCAGAGATGCAACATTAGTTTTAAAAAGTACTATAATAGTGTTAAATAATTACTAATAGTTTTTTTAGTTCTGTCAAATTAGATACCATATAGTCTACGTACTGAATCTCCATCGGGCTTGAACGAGAGCAACATTAGGGTTATGAACAAGGAAAGGGACAGAGCGTTGGAGGTAATCAGGCTCCGGTTGGAAGTCAGCGTCAAAGATGGCTACGTAGTTGCAAAGCTTCACGTAACTGTGCTTCATGCCTTGCTTAAGAGCTCCTGCTTTGTAGCCATTTCTATTGTCTCTCCTCTCACACTTAATGTTCACGCCTTTGCTTTCCCATTTTGCACATTCCGTGTTCACCAGCTCCTGCGTTCCAATCTCTTTCACATTAATTACTTTAAAAATACACATATGTGTTCCAAAAACTTAATAGACTTGGTTAGCAAGAGACCATGATGGTTTCATCAGTAGAATCATCTAAAACTTGAACAATTAACCGGTCCAATGGCCATATTAGTCTACATGCAGCACCTATAGATAATTTAAGGACCTGCGGGTTATGAACACGTCGTGAGTGTTAGGAATCAAAAACCTTAATATTTTGTATTAATTGTCAACATATAGTTTTGAGACTTTCATCTTATTATGTCTCTAAAAGTTAATTATAAATAGAAAATGCATACCTCTTTCTCGTTGAACATTGGGATTTGGACAAGGACCATGGGATATGATTCATGTCCAACCTCAATGTCCTCTTGCATAGGCTCCCATTTGTAGACTTTTTCGGGTTTTCGCTTAAACAGCTTAACGTAGAGTACCACAAGGTTCATGTAAATAGCCTCTATGAAAACTAAGAGGGAGATTATCAAACACAAAGCCACCAAACATTTGAATATGGGAACTATAAGTGAACTCCTCAATTGTCGTCCCCATGTCGTTTCAACGCTAGTCCTCACCCCATTAATGAATGCTTGGAGCCTTTTTGGAACTCCAGCTGCATCTTCAGAACTCCCCCCATGGTTCTTCTCATGAGACAAAGGAAAGAAACTATTGTCAAAGTAGAGAAACAGAACCAGCGAGTGAAAGAGGAAGATGATATTTTAATTACCAGTAGAGAGAGGAAGGCAAGACATGAATCATGTAGGAAGATGATAAGAGACTTCAAAAACAGAGCCATACTAACTAACTAACTTCTGGAGAGATTCTGATTCAGTGGTGCATTGCTTCTAATATAAGCGCTGCACAATGGGTTTTTTATTAGTTAATTATATTATTGCTTTCGTTAGGACTTTTTTGGTTTTAGTTTGGTTGGTCCTAGCTAGACTTTGTCGGTTACGTTAATAGTGTAATATGTACGTTGATGATTGTTTGGAGTGGCTAGTGACTCACGAGTAGTATAGCAGCTTCAAACCACACAGGAGAAAAAGAACAAACTGTTTCTTTCTTTAACTCCACTCATAGTGTTTTATCAGTATTTATCACGTGGTCGTAATTTATTTTACAATCGTACTGGTTTTTCTTGACGTTGACAATGAAAATAACCACACAAACAAGAAAACTACAAAACTACAAAATAAAAGTAAAGAACCAAGGATGCAGACAAAGCTGATTACGTACAGGCTCTTCACGGATTTGATTAGTGAGGCCTAGTTATAGACCCATTAAGCTTTCAGAGGGAGAAGGAAAAAAATAAATGGCTTCGTCCAGGTTCGAACTGGAGACCTTCAGTGTGTTAGACTGACGTGATAACCAACTACACCACGAAACCTGTTGAACAATTCGTAGTAATAATTATTTAACTTAATATGTGAAGAAGAGGATACCTTAGAGATGAAGTCAAAGGATATGACTAGAGACAATAAGGAAGTGAGTTCCTTCAGCTTCCACGTCGGTGGACAAACTCGAGCAGCTGGAGCCATCTGCTGTCACTAAAGACAGCAGTGCAATTAGGTTGTTTCATGAATCAGTCATATGCGCTCTCTGAGAAGAACAGATATATTAAAGGTCAATGGAATGTAAACAACGAGGTACTTTCCGAAGCTGCACGAGAAGTAAAAACAACTGAGCCACAAACGTATTTATTTGGAGATAAGTTGGAGCCATTGATGGATCTAGTTTAATTAATTATAAGCTTAGTTGATGCTGAAATGATTGAATCAGCCGGAGTGATCTCTAGTAAACTGCTTAAATCAGATGATAGCATTATGATTAATGACTTCTCATATCATCTTAAGTTTTGGCCTTGTGCTTGCGTAGTGACTGATTATGTCTATGGTTGTTGGATTTTCATGATCAGTATCTTTTCATGGAAAATTGCGTAACTTCCCTTTCTCTTAATTTTTTTTTTTTGGTCACAAGCTGTCTTTGCTTATCGTTCATAAAGATAAACTATAAGTTAATAGTGCATGGCTATGATCTCAATGGCACATTATAACGCCTTTTGTTGTTTTTTCAGATGAGATTCTATTGTGTCAAGCTCTATTATTTGTCTTGATAATAGTTCTCTGGTAAGATTTTTTTTTTTTTTGAACAACAACTCTCTGGTAAGATTATTTTACCAATATACATAATAACATCTATTCCGAAACGACAAAAAATGTATCCATTTATTAGGGGACATCTGGAAAGTGATAAGTTACTGCAATGCAACCTAACTTGACCGAGTAAGCTAAAACATGCAAGTGGAGACCACTAAAATCCATAGCTTCGTTTTCTCTTCTCCTATTTCTACCACTCTCTTTTTTTCGTGTGAGACCTGGTCTCTACATCTCATGCAAGACTTAGTCCATGTCTTCCCCCAACCTCTCCATTACGTTAAATGCTACAGCTTAAGTCACATTCGTGCACAGCCGCGCGTGTTTAGCAAAGAACACAAAATCATTTCTCTTGGACCTTGTTAAATCATGTTAAATTTGCTAACTTAAATCTATTGTAATTTTGTTTGTTCATAATGTAGTATCTAAAGCAGCTTCTCAACAGACCCAATAATATCTTATTCTAAAACTCTAAACCCGTTTTTCAGGGAGTCAATAAAGTGGAGTATTTTCTGTTCTAGTCTCTTTCCGGCCTCTCAACTTATGATTTTACTTTTCAAGCAGTCGCTATTATGAATTTTGTTTGCTTTGACCACTTAAATAAGGCAATGCAATCCCATTTGACAGAGTAAACCTCAAAGACACGCCAAGCTTGAACAAACACAATATAAGTCGTCCATAGCGTCAACTCCATTCCCTCTCTGTCCTCTTTCTATATAAATAACTTTAAATGTAATCAAAGTGATCACCACGATTCACTAACATTAAGATGACGGCCTCTATACACTCGTCCAGGATTTTATTTCTTCTATTTATCATATTTTCACTTTTTGTTGATGCTCATATGGAACACCGTAAATTCAGTGAGTCTTCCACCTCTGTTAGTTATAGACAAGTTTTGAATAATTAACTGATTTACTTTATTCTTTAGTTCATAAATGGCATATAAAGACAATTTATTTTTGTCGAACTAACTAAAGAATTAACGCTCTATAGGAGGAGAAAAGGAGACAGTGGGGAGGAAACTGAAAGAAAATGGGTCCGGAGGAAACAAAATTGCAACTCCAAGGAGCTACTCACAGCATGGTGGATCGAAAACTCAAACAGAGCCGTCCAAAAGTCGTCCCGAACATGCGACAACCCAAAGGCAGCATCATCGCTTTAGTTACAAAGGTAATAGAAACATTGGCAAAATGGCTATGCCATTTTTAATTTATATATTTTCAAATGGATTTGTGAGATTTTATTTCGCTTATGTTATTTTTAATGATAACACACCATATTTCTTTAACTTAACACGTTGTGTTTTATCTATTTGTCTTTTGTTTTGTTAATTTTAAACCAAAACACCTAAATTAATATCTCATAAATAAATTAAAGAAAAACAATACATTAAAAACCCATAAGATATTTATTCAGAAAAATTATATTTAAAAACAATATTTTGTATACTTTTTATGACTATTTGTGTGATTAGAACTTTCTAATGAAAATGCTGATAATTACAACTTAGCAACGCATGTCGCTCTCTCCCACGCTACAGCGGTACTTTTAGGATTTATGAGAGAATTAGAAAGAGGACATAGATATTAAATAGAACCGTTGAAGCCAGGTTGTTATTTGAAAAAAGGGTATGGCTTAAATATTAAAATGTTCCAAGGCAAACGAGTAGATAGGCTTTTGCCAGTAAATCGTGACGCTTACCGTATACTTATAATTGATTGATTAGAAATATAAGTAAAAATGATTTTTCATATTTGAAAATTTTAATAATAGCTAAGAAATATTTCAATTATAACTACAGCATGTATATTTTTATTTTCTTATCAACTATTTATTAATAATGTAAATTTAACAGGCATATTTTTGTTACCTTTCATACTTAAGTTATAAGTTATAAGAATATATATATGAAAAATACCAACTTACATGTTTACAAAAAAAATAAACTTACATAAATAAAAACATGTGTAACCTTAAAATTTATAAAATATATATGAAATTTAATTTATTGAATTGTTTTAAAGAAAATTTAACTTATTAGAGATACTATGTAATCAATCATCTCACTTTTCATTCTTAGCTAATATTTTAAAAAATAAATTCCAAAAAATCCATTGAAATGTTAATTTAATATCAAAATATTTATATTAGTTAATTAAAATAAATTCCCTAAACATTTAATAAAAGTTAAATGAACGACCAACTTCAGTTTAGTATTAAAATAATAATCCAATATTCATCTAAGATTCCTACCAAATTCTGTAGACCTGTATATGTAGTAAATATCTAAATAATTAGCTTTTTGGGTGTAAAATATATGAATAGTTATCAAAGTTTAAAAAAAAAAATCTATATAATAGTTTCTGACCGAAAGAAAAATTTCCAACCAATATTTTGTCTGCATATTTAATCGGAATCGTGTTTGAAACCGAATTCTGATGGATATAATTTTTATATATGACCGTAGCCATTCAAAAAAGTCTCAACGGATCAGCATGCGCCTCCTACACCCGATGTAAACGTGGAATTGAGGGGCAGACCCAGCATTAAATTTTACTGGGTTCGATTATTTTGTTTTAGTAAAAATAAGAATGTCAAGAGGGGTCAAGAAAGGTTTGAGGACCTTGATTATTTGGGGGTTCAATAGGTTAAACCAACCATCTGAACTACTGTTGTTATAGGTTTTTAAGGCTAATGTTTTTCTTTTATAAGTTTTCCGTAGTGTCATGTGACCCCCCCCCCCTCTCTCTTAGATGCAATTCGTTCCTAGAACTAATACACATACGTGATTGGTTAATATCTATGTGATTACTTATTTCGTTTGCAAGTATTTGTCATTTATAGGTAAGAAAGTAGATTCTAGTATTTCGTATCCTATTCCGTTTAACGCCTTTATAATTCTATAACTTGTCCTTTGTAATTTTTTCTTTGGTTTTCCAAAAATTAATATATTCACCATTTAGACTTTTTAACGCTAATTTATATTAACAGTTCTCAAACCAAGATTTTTTTTTTTGGTTTACAAACTAGAGGCATGGAGAAAACCTGGAGACCAAAGCTAGAAAATTAGACCCAACTTGATTGTTTTTTTTTACCATTGGAAATGGTGTTATATTTTATTTTCATTAGAGATTTCGATATGCTTAATGGATTACGTGACAATGACAGCTACATTCACCATTAGTAGGACTAGTCAGGTGGTACAGTGCTCAATCACACTTTAGCTTCATGTGGTTTTTATAGTTGCTGTTACCAATACAAAACCAAAAATAGTAACTAAAAGATGAAGCAGTTGTGAACCAGCCACTAGACATGACAGAGCGGCAGACCAACAGCATGAGAACATTACTATAAACGTTGGAATACTCAAAAACGTTACTACAGTAACTCCCAAGGCCATTATATTGAGTTACTTCGGCCTTTACTCGAGAACCATTTGATATATAATTGCAATTTCCTCCAAATCTTGTTTCTCACATTTAAATTTAGGTCCTGCAAACTGAATTGAACACTACAAAAAGAAATGGTCAAGGAAAAGGATATTTCATAAAGTGTCAATTAGTCTGTCTAGCGCCCATTAGGACTACTCACACGGGAGTCTAAAGCAGGTATATTAGTATTTTTAGTAATGTTTTTCTGAAAGATGTTCACTGATCAGCTGCTTAAACAACAGAATCCTTCAAAGCCAACATGGAGGTTTGTAAGGTTTGCTTTTTACATTATATATGTTTTCTTCAGG